CTGCTATTTTTATCCTGAGCATCCAGACATCAATGGCTTCTGGCTATGAAAGGGTTTAGAAACATACTTGCAACCACCACAATGTGCTTGTACTTTAACAGTATAATTTGATAATGTCATTATATATTTATTTATTAATGTCATACTGATCAAACTGACAAGCCCAGATTAATAGATTCCTTTTCTTATGACAGTGTGTGATATAAAATTAATCATTCTATCTAACCGCAGAAAAATGTACCTAAACTTTTACTTTTTTTGTGGTTACATCTTGATTTGCTTGGTAAACAGTAATCCACAAAGCCTTACTGTGTCATTAAAATGCGTGTAATTATTCTTTACAACGGCGGGGAAACATTTTAGTAATGAATAATTGTTCTCTTCTTTATAAAAGACAAGCAGGCAGGCTACCACTTTACAATAGTACAACAAAATTATTGTATTCTGTGGAAATAATAAAGTTTTGTTCTATAACACACGTTTGTTCAAGTCATCTGTCAACATTTCTCTGGCGATCTACTGTATGTTGGCAAACATTCAATACAGCTCCCCCCGCCCCCCACCCCCCCAAACAAAAATGGACTTCAAGTAATTAAAACAAGCTCAACAGCAGCTGTGAGCTTGGTACCGTTTCTTCAGCCGACTGATCACTTTTATGCAGCTGTATAGGTATCTGTATGACCTATAAAGGCTTTCAAAGCATTGCATGCATACTATTTTGGGAACAGTCATTTCTTGGAGTTTCACGGACGCACACCATTTTAGGGCTTGACATGTTTGTTTATCTTTATTGCGCTGTGCAAACTGTTGGTGCTATGTAAATCCTGTATAATACTAATAATAATAATATCTATTTAATCAACACAAGCTCATCTTTTATATTTTACCAATAAATTCGTTATTATATTGTGTTTGTGTGCACTAAAATTAATTTTAATGGATATTTTTGCTGAATTTATTGATTTGATAAACAGTTCCGCAAATATTGCGCAACATAAGAAAATGCAACTGCCGCCATTTTTTTAAACATTTTATCTAGCAAAAAATACAGACTTTATTGAGTGTGTAAAAAATTAATTATTGCTCCAGACACAATGTCACACAGGGCATTTTATAGTATAGTTTGTACTGAATGTGCTGCTTCTGAACGAGTGATCCCCATTAAAGCACAACTCCAGCCAAAACCTTTTTGTTTGTGTTGTATAGAGTGGATAAAGTCCAAACTTTTTTTTTTCTATTTCTGTGACTCCTGCTGGAGATGTTAACCCTCATTTCCTGTTTATCTCATGGGTGTCAGACAAGACAGGAAACAAGAGAACACCTCCTTAGACAGTAATAAAAGCAATATTTAGGAGAGCATAGGGTGGGGTTAGAATTACTGTCTCTGCTTAGTCCCCTGACTTCCTATTTAGGTGATGGGTGTCAGACAGTGCAGGAAGTGAGGGGAGATTTCCTTAAAATAAACACCTAGCAGAGGTTCTAACCCTTCCCTCCTCTCTCCAAATTGAAAATGCGCTCCTAATAAAACAGTGTAAAATCTTCCATCTCCCAAATTAATACAGAGCATCATAAACTGGACATAGTAAATCACTTTCAAGGGATAGTACAATATGTCAGTTTAGGCAGTAACACATGAATGGCCGGATTTACTCTCTCTGCTGCCCCAAGGCCAGGCTCCTCAATGCGCCCCCCTACCCGCCAACACCTCCCCCCCTCATGGAGAATGTCAGACCTGCAGGCTGCATACAATGTCCCCAGGATCACTTGTACAAAACAAGCGGCGGCTTCCCCGCTGTAAATTTAGCTCTGCTTGCCCAAAGCAGGGCTAAATGTAGAAAACAACTACCAGCCCAGACATTGGGAGATAGGAATTCCACACCCCTGCTGCCCCTCTACTCCCTGCTGTCCTAAAGGACGAGCCTTGGTTCGCCTTGTTGGAAATCCAGCCCTGAACGCATGGCATCCATTCAGAAATCCTTTATCATTGACCTGTCCTAATAATGATTTGTAGCCACACGTGAAAACACCTTTTTGTTCATTGCACTGCCCTTACTAAACAGACCCAATGCAATGTTTCATTTTAAAAATAATGGATCCCGAAGATTGGCTGTACACAATGGCCAGTAGAGATGAACCAATTTTAGAAAGTTTATCCAATGATATGGCAGACCAGATGCAGGTTTTCTTCACCAGCCAGGTATTAACACATAGGGAACCTGTAAGGTGGTCTATTGAGCTGCATAAATAGTTCACTTGTATGATTGCATTGTGCAGCCTCACAGAAGAGGGCTATGATGACCCATACAAGGGGGTCAACATAGCCCTCACCCTTACCAACCAAATTCATGTAATAATATAGAAGTATTATGTTCCAAGGCAAGGCAGAGAATAATACAATTTTGACCCCGTGCCCTTCGGAAGTGCATCAAAGATTTACTGGAACCAACTCACATTGCTGATCACCGAGGGTCGGTCAGTAAGGATGGGCTTTCTGTATGGGAATGGGGGCCAGGGGAGAATGGAGCCTCCCCCCTTATTAGTGCAGATAATCAAAAGAATTTACATCATATATTTACTATACCAAGATTAAGACTGCCATATCACATTAGGCCTCCCAACAGCATTGTTACATATCTAGATAACAGTATCACTTTGTCCTCCGTATACTCCTTCTATAAGGTAAAAGGGTACTGTGAGTGTAGTGCAACTTATGCACCTACTTCTATCCTTTCCTGGTGTTAATAAATCATCCACTTGTGCATATCTATAAATCTTATTTAACTATAGTATTTTCTAAACATTTGAACTTTTCAACCTTAGTAGTGACCATACATAGGACAGTTTCCTTCCTGAAACACACACATCTGTAGCATCTCAAATTAGTCTTTAAACATTCTAAAGCATGATGTTCCGTAAATCTGTGTATATGGGTTGTATATCTGCATTCCACAACAAAAGTTGAAACGATTTGCATACAGCCTAGAAAACCATGGGAACAAAAATATTCTTCATTTTGAAAGGACTAAATTATTGCCTGATGTCGATTTGGAAAATATACATGGGATGTTTGTGTCTGATAAAACATCTAGTAATATTGATAGCAAAACAATAGGTGTAGAGATATCGGCATGTCCTTCGTTGGTTTGCTGGGATAGGTCAAGATTTTTACCCAACCAGTAAAACCAGCATATGTACACAGGAGGATGAAAGATCCGACCCACTCGCAGATTTTCATAGGCATCTGTCAACCCTTTAAATCTGGTCAATTATGGCAATCAATGCACAACATCTAAAACAATGTCTTCCAGATCTCACAAAGTAGAAGATTCAAAAGACATTGCTATAAACTAAGGGAATAATTAATACTCCAAAGAACAATTTGGAAGGAGAATAGTTTGGGCTTGTTTTGGAATATACATCCACCATCATAGGCAGCACTCTTATCTTTTGGTGGAAAGGGAAAATTATCTGCTCATATGAATCCAACATTAACAGACACATTGATGTTAAATTACCTTTGTATGATACATGCCATCCTAGTAGCATTAGACACTTATTGCGATGTCCGTGGACAGGCTGTGTGAGGGGGCCCCAAAACAAAATAATTGAGGGGCCACATCTCCCTAATCTCCACCTCATATGCAATTTCTCTAGTGATACAGAAAACAAATTGGTTTCATAAAATTACTTTGAGTTTACCAAACTATATGTACATTCCTTTATCAAAACAGGATATTGCTACTTGCATAAATCACTGTGCAAGCAGACAGCTGTGGGCCCTATAAACGTTGCATGGTCTGCTCTGGATTTAGACAATTGCGACACCACAGACCTTAGGCAAGCACAGTCAAAGAAAAAGATAAACAAGTGAAAACATCAAGCCAAGTGTTACTGCAGCCCAACCCCGGTGAAAGATTGCCATGATGTATACATTTGTCAAGTATGCAGAAAGTCCCAAGAAGTGGCCGGAGAAAGGTCCACTCTTTGGGACACGAATATCAATTCTGTGGTATCAGAGATCGATAAAGAAAGTCATGTCATTATATTGTTGTCCTGATGGACATTCTTTATTTTTGTCACAGGAAAAAGCTTCAATTATTCTGGTAGTACCCGGCTGTGATTAAAGTAGCTTAGTCCCCACGAGCATCATGTAAGTAGATTTCCATTACATAGAGACAGCTGGTCTCTTTACTATACACAACTCCTTATCCAGGTGAATGCACTCTCGTTGTTTTATTTTGCTTCTAGTCTTATACAGGTACTCTCCGCCTGTTTTCTTATTATTTTTGAGAGCGCAGAGCTTTTTTCTGTTTCCTGCCATAAATAATTTACCACCAGGGGCTAGTAAAATAGCAAACAATGTAGAACATACATAATACTCCTTAAGTTATATAGTGCAGCAGATAAGCAGTTTTAGCGGCAAACCTTTAACGTACAATTAAAAACCTCGGCCATTCAGTGAGCATACAAAAAAAGTGAAGGATCTAAACACATCCAGGACTCAGCATCAAAAACACTTTTCAGTGCAGCTTCTCAAAAATAAACAGATTGGAGAGACCATTTCTTCTCCTATGCCCTGGTCACCCTGAAGGTGCGATGGGTGGAGATACCGCTCCCCCTTTTACCTGTTGATCCTCTATCCCATCACCATTCCCTCCCCTCACACCACTTTAACCTTAGCCTTAACAATCATACACATGTGGACACCACCTCCAAGCTATTTTCTGATGCTCTGATTCCTCAAGACCCCTCCGCAGTAACATATCTATGTTGAGGTGGTACCCATGTACCATCTATCCTTATTCATTATAACCCTGTATTGAATTTCAAGCAACTTGAGACATTGTCATTTGTAAAACAATCATACAAAGATCAGTTAGTAAATGTCTGACCATTAACCCAAGTTTGTTGGCCTCTTTAACCTAAAACATGTAGCATACTAGATTTCAAACAGGTAATATAATAAGGGCTGTTTAGCATCTTTGAAGTCAGGAACTCACCATCTCTGAGGCTTGCTAAGACGAGCAGGGCCAGTACCGCTGTGCCCATTGTGCCACTCACTCCTACAGGTCAGCAGTGCTTATCCTGTGTAGTCCGATAAGAGATGAACTAAATCGTGCAGCTCCTTCCTGCCAGACCTTGGTGTTCTGAGAGCTGCATTTCTGGTACATCTCTTTTAACTGGGAACTTCTGTTTTTTAGCTCACCACAGATGTGGAGTCTTCTAGCCCAAAATAATGTCAATTTCTTAAAGCTGAACTCCAAGCACATGTAAAAGACACATTATTGTAGCTCAGTGTTTAATAATACATAATTAAATCTAGTTTTTAAGCAATCAGTGTAAGTACCTGGTCTGAATAGGGGAGAATCAGCACAAGTAGCCAATCAGTTGTGCTGCAGTACTCATATGCTAACAAGGGACATGCTAATTGTAGGGGAGAGCAGAGTGACAGAGAAATGAACTAATCAGTGTGATGCTTCTCCTTTCATTGTCCAGTCACAGGCTGCAGAAGGGACAAAGCCTGCAAACATTACTTAAAGCGCACCTGTGCCCATACTATGGTTATATTCTTAGCAAGCTTTAAAGTAAGCCATCCCCGACCTTTCAGGGTGCATTTATTGTACTTTTTAAATTGCTTTTTTAGTTTTTTATTCTTGAAGATCCTCAAAGAGCACAACAAAGAGTGTTGTTGTAGTTGGTGTCATGTTCTAGATGCTTTGTGATATGCCTTTAAAGGAGAACTATGGGGTTAAGGCTTTTCCCCATAGTTCTCCGAAGGGTAACGGGAGGACACAAACTAGCGTCCTCCCGTCACCCTAGGCTCATTATACCGCAAGCTGTAGCTTGCGGTAAATTGAGACGCCGCAGCTGAAGCGGATCCCGACAATTGTGCCGGGATCCACCCAGCTGCGTGACTGACAGCTGGCTCTGCCTATCTAGAGGCAGAGCCAGCTGTACCTGCCCCCTCCCCCGTCCGTTCCGCCAGTCAGCGCTGGTGGATCAGAGCGGGAAGGGGAGAATCCAGCCCCTCCCCTGTCACGGCAGAGAGCCGTGACAGGATCGAGAGGTGAGCGAACGCCAGGATGAACGCCAGAATCACAGGTCGGCAAGAACTATGAGGTGAGTGAAAAGCACTCGCCTCATAGTTCTCCTTTATGATTATTTGTGTTTTAGCTGTCTCTGGTATTTATTTCCACCCCTCCCCATAGTTTAGGTTTTAGTCTGTGTAGATAACTCCTCCCTTCTTCACTATGCTGCAGTCTGCATCTCAGCCACATGTCCTTTGCTGATGGATCACACCATTATCTTTTGACCTATCCTATGTTTGCTGTTGTAAAGATCTGCACAGTTTGGATTAAATGAGAACTATGTGAGTGAGTGAATTACGCTCAGCCCCAGTGGTGGACCTAAGGAACAAAGGGACCTGGTGCAAGATTTTTTCTCGGGTCCCCCAGAAGCCCGTTATCCCCCACCCACCCAGAGAAGCCCATTGCACAGGCTGCACTGGCAATAGGTCCGCCCCTGACTCTCTATATACACCGTGAGGAGTATAGCACACAGTGGTCTCTATATACTTAGTGGTCTCTATATACTCAATGATCTCTTTATATACACTGATCTCTATATGCACACTGATCTCTCTATATACACTGATCTCTATATACACACTGATCTCTCTACATACACACTGATCTCTCTATATACACTAGACATGTGCGATTCGTTTCGTTCCGAATCGAAATTCGGACGGATTTTCGGAAATTCGGACATTCGGATGCATCCGAATTCCGAATTACAGACATAACGAATGCAAACGAATCCGAATTTCCATTTCCGAAATTCGGTAGCGTTAGTACGAACGTTCGTTTCGTTTTCTGTTCTTATTCGTTTCTTATTCGTTTCTTATTCGTTTCGTTCGTTGGAGCAAAGTGACATTAGAGAAGGAGAAAAATATTTTCCCCCCCTCAAATGTCACTTTTGCTGCAAACGAACGAAACGAATAAGAAACGAATAAGAACAGAAAACGGAACGAACGTTCGTACTAACGCTACCAAATTTCGTCCGAATTCCGAATCCGAATTGACTTTCACATCCGCATCCTGAAAAACGAAATAACACAAATCCGAATTTAAAACGAAACGAAACTAAACAAATGTTTTGGCAGTGCACATGTCTAATATACACTGATCTCTCTATATACACACTGATCTCTCTATATACACTGATCTCTATATACACACTGGTCTCTCTATATACACTGATCTCTATATACACACTGATCTCTCTATATACACACTGATCTCTCTATATACACTGGTCTCTCTATATACACTGATCTCTCTATACACACTGATCTCTATATATACACTGATCTCTATATACACACTGATCTCTCTATATACACTGATCTCTATATACTCAGTGGTCTCTATATACACTGATCTATATATAAATACAGGTACATACATAGAAGAGGTAGAAAACTGCATATGGCGGGAAATCAATACAGGCAAATAGAAGTCATAGAAAATGTTGTTCTTATATAGTAGAAGTAAATACAGGTAAAAGTAAGGTAATACAGAAATTTTTTGTGTTGCATAGGGGGAATAGATATTGGCACTTAGAAGCAATAACACGTAAAATACAAGTGAAGGTTATGCAGCAATGAGCCTGTTGGTAAGCAGAGGAAAATTACTGCCTGAGCATATACTATGCAGGAATACTCACATGCCATCGCCACGGGAGCTCTCAACTTACGGTCCTCCGGTTTTCCAGGTGCCTGCCTGCCGAAGTGTGACATTGAAACTGTCACACGCCGGCTCTATTGATTGGGAAGTGAGTGAAAACATACCGCTGATCCGCTCACTTCCCGATCATCTCCCTGCAGAGAGTGGTCACTGTCAGTCAATTAGCTGTTTGGTGAAGGAGGAAGGACAGCCAAATTAGCAATGTTAAAATACTGGAGATGATATAAACTTTACATGCTTAAAAGCCTTGTCACCTTTTGATTAGACACAAGCTGCTGACCATGCACACTGTCATTTTAAATTGCAAATATTATCCAACAGATCAATGCACTCTGGAAAATGTCCATGCCATATAGATATGAGTATACAGTATAAAATCTTAATAATAGACATCCTTGATCTACCTGATCTTTTTTACACGCGAAAGGTGATAGAATGTGGTTACAATTGCTGTGCATGTGACCAACATACCTGAACTGTCTTCATCTGTGCTAGGTTTGATGGAATGAAGAATTCTGACAAAACCCAACTCAGTGAAAAAAGCAGCAGAGTGATGAGCTCATCTTTCTTTTAAGCTTCTTTTAATGTTAGAATTTCATACAGGCGTTTGTACAATAAATCTCCTCAGAACATTCGATAATGCTATCAGAGACTTGACGAACCTTGTTTGAAATTTCGTTTGTTTTTAACATTTGATTTTTTTTTTCCCAAACAAAAAAAACATTCACTGTTAGAATGTTGGTTTGAGAAAAAATTGCCGTCCTGCTCCTTTCGGACGATTTTGTTTGAAATCGGTTGCTGACTTGATCCCATTAACTATAACAAAATTGAACGAACGCTCCGAGAAAAACATTTTTCTAAGGGAGTTCCACTGGTGTAGAGCTAGCTTTACTCTGCTCTCTCTACCTAAGAACTGATTGGCTCCTCGTGCTGCTTCTTCTTCTAAGACTACAGCCTTGCTATACAGATACTGCTAGAGGCTGATACCAGGTCAAATTCAGGTACCTAAAATTGTTGCATTCAAAGAATACATTTAATGATGTAATAATGATTAAGAACAACATTAATCTGTGTCTATATATCCACCTAGAGTTCAGCGTTCAACTTTACACATTCCATTATTTCTCAGAATCCAGAGATTAAGTACCACAATGGCTCAATGGCTACAAAACAGAATCATGATGACTGCTCAGGTTATGGTGATTCTGTAAACTTCAGGGTGTATTATAAAAACCACATTAAAGTGTCAGTGGAGTTTTTTAGGAGGCGACAGACTCTGATTTAAGAAAAAGTAAAATATTTACTCACAATTTCATTTAAACAGTCCATAGATTCAATTAAAATCATACATATAAGGTATTTGTCTCAATTCTGCCTCACTGCCACATTAATACAATTTGTGCAATGTTTATACTATTCATATATTAATCATAAACATGTAAACAGATATTCATAATCTTATCCCATTTGTCTTGATTCATTGTGGCAATAATTCATGGATTTCCAACGCGTTTTCACTGGTAAGCTTCCTCAGTGAATAGAAGGGAAGAATCTATTATAGATGATAATATTTTTCATCACATAAACATAATTTGTAGTGCATCACATCGTTAGTTAACTTATATGATAGGAGTATATATGCAGGACATATATGGGCTGAGTCTCAGTGATATGTCCTAATCACATTTTGACACATACAATATGGATATGGTCACTCTAGGATTAAATTGATCTGTCTGTTTTAATGAGATTTAATGAGATTGTGAATACATTTTGTACTTTTTCTTAAATCAGAGTCTGACGCCTCCTATAAAACCCCACTCACACTTTAATGTGGTTTTTGTAATACATATTGTAATAGGGGTGGGGTCTCAGACCATCTGGAGGTTTCGGGTATGTGGAGTACCACTTGAGTAAATAATTGTAAACTTCAGGGTAAAGCCCCGTTCACATTGAGCGATTTATCGCGTGGTAATTCCCGCGATATCGCGGCAAATTACCGCGCGATATCGCGTTTCAATGCATTTCAATGGGGCAAAGGGTCCTGCTGTCGCGGGTCGTGTGTCGCCACAGCAGGACCCTTTTTGCAGCGGATTTAGCCACGATTCAAGCTTGCTCAATGCAAGCTTGAATGCGATATCGCGCAATATGCAAATCGCGCGACAAACGCGCGATTTGCATATCGCGCAGTGGGAACGGGGCCTAAAGATGTGCGGAGTGTACTAAAAGCTTCTGATTTGTCCCTACACTCTTAGGCCCCATTCACACTGCGCGATTCGCAAATCGCGCGTTTGTTGCGCGATTTGTTGCGCGATATCGCGCAAATGCTTGCATTGAGCAAGCGAGAATCGCGGCAAAATACGCTC